TGAAACATTAAAGTGTGACAAACATGCAAAAAAATAAGAAATCAGGAAGGGGGCCAACACTTTTTCACACCACTGTATATATTTAGAATTTAATCTTATATATCCCCTTATATATGTGTATATATACGTATAGTGTGTGTGTGTGTGTATATTTATATATATATATATATATATATAAGAGTGAAATATTTAAGGGGGTCTGAATACTTTCCGTACCCACTGTATATAGACACACACATATATATAGAACACAGACGTATATTAAAGCATATTGAATATATATGCATATATAATACCTAAAGCATATTGAATACAGGATGTCTGGACATAATTGAAGGGTTCTTTCCTTTCAAAATGCTTTAGTATTTTATTTTATTTTATTTTAACCCTTCAGTTGTGTTCTGCCCAGACTTCCTGTTTCATTTGAAAGCAAGTCAACACAAATGAATCTGCAGAATTCTTTTCAGTTCCGGTCCAATTCCAAATTCCTAAGCCTAATTACGAGCAATAATAATATTACTGTTTGCTGTAGCAAATATAGTTTATGTTTCTGAATGTGGGAATCACATATCATCCTTTGAATCGGTTCAGATCAGCTTTCTAAATATCATGACAGTATGTTTCAGAGAAATAGATCTCTATTTTAGAGGCGCTCTATGAGACGTCTCATTCAGTGACATGAACTGTAAACACTGAGAGATCAGCCACTGTCACTGTTTGTCAGGTTACGCTCTCAAACAGAGGCGTGAAAATGCTGGATAAAAGATCAGTGTTTGTATCAGTGCTTGCGCTGGCCTGGTTTCTTTCGCTGCTGTCTCTTTGGTGTGAGCACAGAAATAGCAGAACAACTTTGACTCATGGCTGCACAGCCGAGCGTGTCTCTGTCACACTGTCACAAGTGTAGAACCTGTTAGACGGATTCTAGAGTTAATGTTAATGTGAATACGGACGGACCGCCTGAAGCAAAGTGAACATGTGGGGGAATTTCTAACATTGTTCTCATTACCCTGAACATACACACAAACACTCATGAGACTACAGTATATGCATACACATTAGTGCTGGATATAAATTTTAGTTTCACGATTGCAGACTTCATTTGAATAATCTGATATTCATTGTTATTTTGATATTTTCGTCAGCTTAAACATTATTTGTAGCACACCTCCTGTTCTGTAGATGTTGCTAATGTCAAAATTCCTTGACAGTTCGTCACTTTTTTAAATGTAAATTTTTATACCAGGGCTGAATAGTTTGATGAATGCAATCAACTGCTATTTGTAAATGCTTTGCCATTATTTGTTTGTCTCCCATCATGCTGAAATTTTTTACATTTTGACATTTTTTAATAAAAAAAATTTCCCCCCCTTTTTGTTATGGGGAAAAATCATACCATAACATAGTCACAAAAAAAGTGTGGGACACAGTTGTATATGTTTTGGTTTAATATAATCTAATTTAATATAATCAATTGAAACTTTATTTTACTATAATATAAAAAATAGAATATAATAAGTAATAAGTAAATTTTAATATAATAAATCAGTTCATTATGAAAGCATTGTAACAGTGTCTACACCGGACGCGAGCGACAAAATACAATAGAACATATTATGCTGTCTACACTGGATGCGGCGCGACGCGACATGAAAAATCCCCGACAGTAGACTGATGCCGCTTTCTATTTATGACGTATTGACACAAATTTCAAATGATTTTCAACGGTCGCTTTGTCGCGTCCAGTGTAGACAGACTTTAGCTGTTGCGGCACGGCACGACAACTGTGGCATCCGGTGTAGACATGGTGTTTAGAGTATTGTATAATTTAAATTGTTACTGTTGGGGTCAGTAATATTTGTACATGTATCACAGTTTCCACAAAAAATCTTAAGCAACACAACTGTTTTCAACAGCTTGATAATGATAAGACATGTTTCTTGAGCATCAAATCAGCACATTAGAATGATTTCTGAAGGATCATGTGAGACTGAAGACTGGACTAATGATGCTGAAAATTCAGCTTTGCATCACAGGAATAAATTACATTTTAAATTATATCAAAATAGAAAACAGCTATTTTTAATTGTAATAATTTTTCGCAATATTTCTGTTTTTACCGATCAGATAAATGCTGTCTTAGTGCACAGAGAGACTTATTCCAAAAACATAAAAAAAATGTACCAACCCCAAACTTTTAAACAGCAGTAAACATTTCATGCTAAATTAACATATGTTAGGTAATTTCCCGAATGTATCTAATAGTTCTCAAGACAATTTTATTCCTCTAATAATTATAGGCATCAAAATGCACCATATTTGTGTGAGTGTGCAAACTCAGATTAACTGATGTCAGAATTGAATTGGAAAATCAGTGCCAATGCATAAACATAGCCCTATTAGCTTTAAATAACCCAGGCATTGAAATTGGCTTCAAAGACGCACAGAATCACAGCACAACACAAATGTGATACTGTCAGGTGGCAGCACTATGTCTCTCTCTGTCTTTCTCTCTCTCTCATAGAGGTCAGGGTGGTCTCTGTCTGTTACAGCGTTTGCAGCTGCAGGAGGCATTGCAAGGTGAAGACACATTGGCTGTCATTGTGCTGAGCGAGAGAGAAAGAGAGGGAGACAGTGGGGAAAGGAGGGAGGTAGACAGGGAGGGTGAGAGAGAGAGAGAGAGAGAGAGAGAGAGAAGCTGCTGCCATGGGCTCACTGGAATCGCTCGTTCACACTCGCTGTTGACGGATGAGCCGTCGGTCGAGGCTGAGAGCTCGGCAGCTTGTGTCAAGCTGAGGGGAGAGCGGAACATGAACATAATGAGAACCTTCCCTCGCTTGCTTTCAGATACCGGCCAGAAGAAGACGCCGGAGAAGAAGGATGGGAGGCGGATGTCGTTCCAGAGACCAAAGGGCACCATCGAGTATTCCGTAAGTGGGAACAACAACCCCTTTCCTTGTTATTTCTTTGCATGTGCTGTGTGTTATAGGCTTGTATCTTGCAGATCTCCTCCCGGCGCTGTTTACTCAGAGGATTTTTCCACATGTGCCTGCGAGATTTCTGTGAGAGTTTGCACGAGGACTCTGTGTGTGTGTGTGTGTGTGTGTGTGTGTGTGTGTATACACAGGGAGGATTTGAGAGCAAGTGTGCATGAAGCCGTGCGAATGTTTACATCAGCCTGTTTATTTTCACCAGTCTGCATGCGTTCCAGCAGAGTATTGCTGAATGACCTTCCTTTCTGCGTTTGCATTTCTATTGATTTGACGAGCGTGTGTGCTGAGTGAGAGAGTGAGAGAGACCGTGTGAGCTTCGATTGTCTGTCTTAACAGCTTGTTGTGTTCTTGAAATGACCCTCAAATTCCAGCTGCGGGCAGAACGCTTCTCATCTCTCTCCCTTGTAACAGAGGAGCGTGTGGGTTGAGCTGAGATCTGGAGTTCTGCCTAGAAGTGGAAAAAGACAGAGGAGAGGAAACTGCTGGCAGCAAGAGCTGTCATTTAGCCAGAAGATTGGAATTATACTGCTTTTTCACCAAAAATGTTGCTGGTGCTGCTGCCGGAGCTGGTGCTCACTCAGGGAATCTGATAACATCTCTCAGAAGCAGCCAATGTTTTTGACTTAGATGAACTGACTAGGTCACTGTCTTTGTTTACAAATCTTACGAGTTTTGAAAACATATTTTAACATTCAAAGTAGAGACGTGCAAAATCAACTAGTCAGGGCTACCTGAATTTAAAGACACAAAGTTTATGTTTACTCAGAGGATTTTTCCACATGTGCCTGCGAGATTTCTGTGAGAGTTTGCACGAGGACTCTGTGTGTGTGTGTGTGTGTGTGTGTGTATCCACAGGGATGATTTGAGAGCAAGTGTGCATGAAGCCGTGCGAATGTTTACATCAGCCTGTTTATTTTCACCAGTCTGCATGCGTTCCAGCAGAGTATTGCTGAATGACCTTCCTTTCTGCGTTTGCATTTCTATTGATTTGACGAGCGTGTGTGCTGAGTGAGAGAGTGAGAGAGACCGTGTGAGCTTCGATTGTCTGTCTTAACAGCTTGTTGTGTTCTTGAAATGACCCTCAAATTCCAGCTGCGGGCAGAACGCTTCTCATCTCTCTCCCTTGTAACAGAGGAGCGTGTGGGTTGAGCTGAGATCTGGAGTTCTGCCTAGAAGTGGAAAAAGACAGAGGAGAGGAAACTGCTGGCAGCAAGAGCTGTCATTTAGCCAGAAGATTGGAATTATACTGCTTTTTCACCAAAAATGTTGCTGGTGCTGCTGCCGGAGCTGGTGCTCACTCAGGGAATCTGATAACATCTCTCAGAAGCAGCCAATGTTTTTGACTTAGATGAACTGACTAGGTCACTGTCTTTGTTTACAAATCTTACGAGTTTTGAAAACATATTTTAACATTCAAAGTAGAGACGTGCAAAATCAACTAGTCAGGGCTACCTGAATTTAAAGACACAAAGTTTAAAGCACAGCATGTTGTCAGCATGCTGTTGAAAGCACTGTAGCTAAAAATATTAAAACTAAATATATGTATAATAAGAATAACACCAAGTTAATCAACCTTGATTTTTGATTAGTAGCATTGTGACCTATCCCTAATCCTAATAAGTCATTTAACTAAGCGTCTTTTTGATATTGGAGGTTTCTGTCATATATATAGTTTGAAATTTATATTATTTTTGGGTGGGTAAGATTTTTTAAATGTTTTTGAAAAGTCTAGTGCTCACCAAGGTTGCATTTATTTAATTAAAAATACAGTAAAAATAGAAATGTTGTCTAATGTTATTACAATTTAAAATAACTTTACTTCTATTTTAATATATTTTAAATGTAATTTATTCCTGTGATGGCAAGGCTGAATTTTCAGCATAATTACTCCAGTATGTAGTGTCACATAATCCATCAGAAATTATTCCGGTATGCTGATTTGCTGCTCAAGAAACATTTCGTATTATTATCAATGTTGAAAACAGTTGTGCTGTTTTATATTTTTGTGGAAATCTCATTTTTTCAGGATTCTTTGCTGAATAGAATGTTCAAAATAACTCCATTTAATTGAAGTACATTCTACAAACTATTCAGTTGTTAACTTCTAGTAGACTAATCACCCATTGTGATCAGTCATTTAACTAAGCGTCTTTTTGATATCGGAGGTTTCTGTCATATATATAGTTTGAAATTTATATTATTTTTGGGTGGGTAAGATTTTTTAAATGTTTTTGAAAAGTCTAGTGCTCACCAAGGTTGCATTTATTTAATTAAAAATACAGTAAAAATAGAAATGTTGTCTAATGTTATTACAATTTAAAATAACTTTACTTCTATTTTAATATATTTTAAATGTAATTTATTCCTGTGATGGCAAGGCTGAATTTTCAGCATAATTACTCCAGTATGTAGTGTCACATAATCCATCAGAAATTATTCCGGTATGCTGATTTGCTGCTCAAGAAACATTTCGTATTATTATCAATGTTGAAAACAGTTGTGCTGTTTTATATTTTTGTGGAAATCTCATTTTTTCAGGATTCTTTGCTGAATAGAATGTTCAAAATAACTCCATTTAATTGAAGTACATTCTACAAACTATTCAGTTGTTAACTTCTAGTAGACTAATCACCCATTGTGATCAATTATAATTGTGTCATTGTGACTTAATCATTTAATTCCACATCTTTTTGATGTCATGAGTTGCTTATGATGCAGCAGACATTGTTTGCATATACAGCAAATAAAAAATTCACAGCAATTCATACAGAAATGTGAAATCTCAATGATATTAATTTGTTTGAGACTAACTGTGAAAAAAGGGGCATCCGTTTCGGTTTAAAACTGGCATCAGGTAGCTGTGGGATTGGATGCTGGTGTAGTTGACGTGCTGCTGCTGTTGCTGTCACGGTTTTGTTTCCACACGGTTCTGCTCTCCCCTCGGATCTGAGCAGTTTTCTCCCCCCAACACGCGCTGAAGATCCGTCTCTGTCGGCCAAAAGTGATTGACAGGACCTTTGTTTTCCTCCGCAGAGCGTGAAAAGTGTGCAAGACGACAGCGGGGCATTTGTCACAGGGCATAAACAGCGTGTCATGAGGCTATTTGTGGCGGTTGTTGGTGAGGGATGTGGGGGTTAACATGAGAGAGATGGCAGATATGGCACTCATATCTCAGTCTTCCAGCTTGCCTCGCAGTCTTCCACTCCAAACCACACCACACCGCTGCAAGATGGAGTGATGGATGTGATTTTGAGAAAATGTTTGGATAATTATTGGACATGATGCATGACTCTGAACACACAAATCATCTTTAAATGGATAGCTCATCCAATAATCTATATATGAATATTCTGTCATCATTTACTCATCCTCTTGTCGTTCCAAAAATCCCTTTCCTTTTTTGTGGCTTCATTGTTTTTATCCATACAATGAAAGTCAGTGGGTCTTAGTGTTGTTTTGGACCCCATTGACTTTCATTGCTTGGCAGTTTAAAAATTATTTGTAAATGATGACAGTGTTTTCATTTTGGGACACTTTCTGAAAAACGGCCTCCATTATTGTGAAAGCCTCGTCTCCTGCCACAGGTAATTGTCTGCTCTTTTCTCAAGAAGCAGTCTTGACCTCAGGAGGCGTTGAAGGAGAGCTAAACTGTAGCCCAACTGCTCAGTCACTAATAACGGTCAGCGGGTTCTCACCATTGGCTGGTCTGTGGCCAATTAAAGTGGTTGGACTCCAGGAAAGAGTGAGAGAGATTGAGATCTCATTGAAGAGAAACGGTAAGGAATCAGCATCTGCTTTAATGCTTCCTGAGTCTGTTGATTTCTGCAGCAGTCTGATTCGGCTAGAGTCATTGTATCACATTGAGTCACAGCACTGAAGCTTATAGTCTCATTATGCATGATGCATACTGTGCACAAAGATGAGATAAAACATGAGATTTTATCACATGGCCGAGCTGTTTTAAATGATTTTAGGGTGAATGTGAAGACCTTTAGGCAGTGAATGTTTGTGACCAGGCTCACCAGTTGCCCCTTGACATCCTGCTGACATTTGCCAAAGCAGGTTATTGGGACATTGAAGACACCTCAAGCTTGTACAAATGTACTTTGGAGATGCAGTGGTTTCAGATATTTACCATAGTATTGAATGATTGTCATATTCATGTACCATGGTTTTTCAAAGAATACCATAGTATTACCATGTCTAAAGCACGGTTGATGTTTCCATGGTGCTTTTTTTGTAAGCGCTGGCTCATTTATGTCCTGCGAAAGAGAGAACACCAACATCATGCCAAGACTGCTGAGCTAAAATTAGTTCTTTAAGTGATCATCGATGCAGTTAGCCAGCTTGTGCCATGAGGGTAGTAATGACGGTGTCACTATGGCAACTCATGCCACGGCAGCTGTGATGTCCCACGCAGTATGGAGCTTGTCTGATTTGACATTCTGTCTGATTGTACCGTTTGCTGGAATGTCATTTCCAGTTTGATGAGCTGTGTGTTCTGTACTAGTGTGAATCTCACGAAACCAAAAACATGCATGGATCGTATTTCACCCCAAAAGAAAGAAGTAATTATGTTTTACATAAGTTTATTATAGGAACAAACTAAAGTTTTTGCATTGTATTTTTTTTTTTTGCCATGCAAAAGAAGATTGATATAGTTATATAATATATACATATATTGTACTTTATTTATTTATTTATTTTATTTTTGGGGGGAAATGTAACCTGGAAATGTGACCTTAATTGTTATGAAAATAATTCACAATCCAAAAAAATCTTTACAAATGAACACATTATATACAGTATCTATCTATCTATCTATCATCAATATATATATTAGGGCTGTCAATCGATTACATTTTTTTTATCTGATTAATCACATCCTTTTTCTGCGATTAATTGTGATTAATCACACACTTCATGAAATTAAGCATAGACCATTTATCTTGTTTCAAATGTTTATTTTGTCATCATTTGCTATATCCAGCAAAGTAAACCTCAGTTTGTTGTGATTCTCAAAAATCTATATTTTCTGCAAGATTTTTTCAAGATAAATTTAGATGTCTTTCCAAAAAAGGACACTTAGAAACTCCAAAAGGACACCAAAGAACCAAATGATATAAGGAGCCCATATAAGCACATATGAAAAAAAAAAAGTCAGTACATCTCTGATGTAATCAGCCTGGTTTCCTTTATATTAGCGCTGTTTTGGACGGATTGTTTGAATGCATTCACTTACTGGATCATTGGATTGAAAACTTTCCCGGAGTTTAGCAGCTTAAAATGATCTAAACGCAAGCAGAGTAGCAAAATTGGGTTAAGGGGTTAGAATACAAATTGTGCTTCAGTAATTTTGCGTTAACTGCAGTAAATTATTTTAATGTGTTAAGGATTGTAAAATTAATCGCATGCGTTAACGCGTTAACGATGACAGCCCTAATATATATATATATATATAGAGAGAGAGAGAGAGATATATATAGAGATATACAGATATAGATATAATAGATAAAAGATCAAATTTGTTCAGGAGTGTATTTGTATATAGCAGATGTGTTTGCTGGATTCTAATTGGTTTAGACAGATTGATTACACATGTTCGCCATATTAAGATGACAGAATGCACAGCAAATTTATTTATATTGCACTTTTGATACACAAAAAACTTTACAGAAGCATAATATATATATATATTATATATAATTTTTTTTTTTTTTATAATTTTTTTTTTTTAGAAATTTAAATATGAATAGAAAATAAATTAGAAGGGACATAATGTTGTGTAATAAAATGTACAAGTAGAGCACTGTAATAAATAATACATACAGACATGAATGTGTTTGGACTTGAATATGGCTTCTGATGAGACATGTGAGAACTTGTGAAAGCTGCTCCCAGCTTTAGGGTGGTGTAAGAGCTAAACACTGTCTTGTGATGTTTGGTACCAACCCTAGACTTAACTAGTCTTGATCCTAATGACTTAAGAGATTGACGTCTCTAAATTCAGAATGGGTGAGCCACGTTTGAAGCTGTTGTAACATGTGCCTCTGCCTGCAGATTCTATTAGTGTCAAGTAGCTAAACTGCAGCGTATAGTTATAATAAAGAAGTATACTACTTGCTGGAAGAATTGTTTATGTAGATTATTAACCTTGATACTCATATGTATCAGGAAGCCAGTGTAAGGACTGATGCGCTCTTGTGTTTCTTTACTAGTTGTACATATCTTTGGATTAATTTATAGTTTTATTGTTGATTCTGCTGTTGAAAGAAGGAACCTTGAGCCGCCCATGTCTGGAAAATGTGGAGTTTGTCTAGACTGTTCTGATGCCTCTTACTGCTGCGTGTGTCTTTTTTCCGAGCAGAAGCGACTGGCAACGGCTGACATCTCTACTGGCACTGCTCGTGTTGTATATTGGGTGATATTTTTATCCATGGCTGCCTTTAGAAAGAGGACAACAGACCTCAGTGGGACTTCCTGCTAAAGTCTGAGATTGAATTAGGAGGGAAAAAACACGGGCGAGTTGGATAGAGCGCGTCTAGACTGCAGAGAAAATCATAAATTCACCATCTAACAACTACAAGCATTAGTGTTCAGTGAAGGCAGGTTGTGTTTGCTCTGAAATTAATTTGAAGCGTCCAAAGCTACAAATAAATAGCCCACGGAAAAAACGTTTTCAAATGGTTCTCACAGGGAATCAATGTTCTGTGCCAGACAGACTGGATGAAAGGAAGCCGCTTGCGTGGGGGCATTGGGAATATCGACTGTTGACGTTCCCATCTGGAGACGACCAGAAAACTTCTGTGCAAATTCTAGAAAATGCATATTTTTGAAAATGGTTTTCAATGTGCAAGTTTTTGAAAATGGCACCGTTATTGTTTCCGTGTGAAAACCCAAAACGGGAATCTTTGAAAACAGTGACGTCATGTGCGTGCGTAGTACGTGTTAGGTATGTAGACATGCGCAGTACGTGTAGATTTTAAAGGCAAGCGCGAACAAACATACACAACAATGGCAGAGTATATAGTACTGTTGTTGCTGCTCAAGAGTTTGCTAATGCTTCTTCAGCAAAGTGTGGATTTACCTTTACCTCATAATGTATAAAGTACTAATATCACACTGTAAAAATACTCTGATATAGGGGTCGACCGATATGTGTTTTTCAGGGCTGATACCGATTATTACAGATCAAGTAGACCGATAACCGATATTTTGAACCGATATATATGTCTGGTGTAAAAATTAAAATGAATGTCAAAATTAAGAATAACAAGGGCTCTGACAAAAACTGCCTTCCCTGGTGTTGGTTGAGTGTAGTACTCCCACAGTAAACTCTTTATTTTAAAGAGTTAAACTCTTTAATTTTTGGCAAACAAAGGGTAAGAGCAGTGTTTTTCTTCTTGTAATCAAGAGCGCTTGTCCTCCTAATTAAGGAGCACCTTCTGATCAATAATCAAAAATTCTGATCAAAAATTAGCCTTCCTAATATGAGGTGAAGAGATTTACAGGGGCATTTTGCTTGGGAACTAATGTGGTCGGAACCAAAGTTTACAGGACTGCGTTCTCTGGAATCCTCTCAAGCGGTGGACTTCTACGTTCCGATTGGTTGCCGCCGAACCGCGTCATAGCTCATTACCATAAAGTTGACATGATTTCAACTCTCCTCAACGTTCAAGTCGCGCCGCTGCTCGACGCCAGCTCACATTGAAAATTAATGACTTCCGGCAACTTTGACGCTCTCAACGGCGGCGGTGTGAACGCACGGTATGAAAAACAACTAGCAGAAGTCTGATTCAGAGTAGAAATGGCATTGGAAATGCGATGTTTTTTACTGTCTGATGTTTGGGAAACACTGTGTGATTATGTAAACCATTTCAGTCATAAAGAAGCGTGTTTATTTTATGTGTTTTCTGTTACACTGTGGAAGCTTCTGTCACGAAAACAAATTCCTCGTATGTGTAAACATACCTGGTAATAAAGCTTATTCTGATTCTGATTCTGATTCTGAATTGTCCTTTTAGGGCCCGTTCACACAAGATGCGTTCTTGTGTTCAAAACACAAAGTTCAAAGTTAAACTTTTTCAAGATGCTGAAAAAAATTTGTCACAACGTGGTGTTCATGAAGAAGCTGTGCCTTTGTTTAGTGAGACGTGGTTAAAGGGTGAGTTAAGCAAAAAATTTACATTTTGTCATCATTTACTCACCCCCCCCCCAAACCTGTATGATTTTTTTCTTCTGTGGAACGCAAATGTAAATGTTTAGCTTGCATTCTTTTCAAGCTAAACTCTGTGTTTGTGTCTCCTTGATCTGACCATCTCACTGTCCTCCTCACATGAGAGACTCATGAAATAGTAAACAGACAGACTATGAACTATGTAGAATCCTTTACATTAAGTTATTACCTACAGTATAATGGTCTGACTATCTGAGCTCAGATGTTTATGTTTAGAGGACTGTAATGTGGGGGTATGGAGAGTACAGGAGGAATTTAGCATGTCAGTGTTTTGTAGAATTCATCATACAGCAATAAGTTCCACACAAGATGTGCAAAAGGGGAAGAATATGTTCACACCATGCAACATTTCTCTTGTTAGGTTTTTGTCCTCTCACTTTCTTTTAGTGTCAAACAGAAACTTTTTTTTCTCAAATTTAAGCCAGCTTTTCACCCTCTATGACTTTTATTTTATTTTACTGGATAGTGCTGGCTAACATTTTACAGTAATAGTAGGTGTTTAGAATAAAGTTCATTAGAAAAAAAACTTGAATAACTGAATAGCAGCTTTATGCTATCTTTCAAAATGTTGGGGTCATTAAGTTACATTTTTTTAAACAAAATACTTTTATTCAGCAATGATACATTAAATTGATCAAAAGACATTTATAATGTTACAAATTATTTCTATTTCAAATAAATGCTGTTCTTTTGAACTTTGTATGCATCTATCAAAAATGTAAAGAATGTATCACAGTTTCCACAAAAATATGAAGCAGCACAACTGTTTCCAACATTAATAATAATAAGAAATGTTTCTTGAGCAGCAAATCAGCATATCAGAATGATTTCTGAAGAATCATGTGACACTGAAGACTGGAGTAATGATGCTGAAAATTCAGCTTTGCATCACAGGAATAAATTACATTTTAAAATATATGTAAATAGAAATTTGTTATTTTACTGTATAGCTTTATTGCTATATTACTGTTTTTAGTGTGTTTTTACTGAATTTATTGTGTTTTTGATCAAACAAATGCAATTTTGATGAGCATTAGAGACTTCTTTCAAAAGCATTCAAAATTTTACCGACCCCAAACTTTTGAGTGGTAGTGCACAACATACACCTTGTGTAGACCGAGAGGAACCTAAAGAAATGTCTTCACAACAATGTCATACACAACAATGGCAGAGTATATAGTACTGTTGTTGCTGCTCAAGAGTTTGCTAATGCTTCTTCAGCAAAGTGTGGATTTACTTCACCAATATTACAACCAACAGCGGAGACTCATAATATACATCATAAAATCGTCACTTCCCTACAGGTACTGTTTACTAACAAGGTCACAGCGCCAACTACTGGCCTGACATACGTAATACAGCGTTTTTGGCCGTTTTCGCGGATATGTGTAAACGCGAATCGTTTTGAAAACGCTGTCATGTATACGTGAAACTTTTTAAAAACACAAGGGTAAAGCTTTTCCGCTATGTAAACGTAGCCTTCCTCTTCTCCTTTCTCCTCGTTTTTTTTTTTTTTTTTAACATGCTTTTTGTGCATTTGTTGTGCAGGTGGACTCGCGGGACACTCTGAACAGTATCTCGCTGAAGTTTGACACAACTCCCAACGAACTTGTTCAGCTCAACAAACTCTTCTCCAGAAATGTGGTCCCTGGTCAGGTGTGTATTTCCCATTGAATATCCTATTTCTTGTCTTTTAGTTTAGTTTAGTTTAGTTTGAGGTATTTTAGATCATTTTTAAGCTACTGTTGTTGTTTCCAATAGTCACACTAACAAAAATCACAAACACTACTGAATTCATGGCAGGTTTTCTTTGCAGACTTTCATTTCAACGCTTCACTCCCTCACCATTAGATCTCAGCCAAGTGTTAGACAAAGAATCAATCTCTCACTGTTTAATATACTGTAACAGCATACCAATTATTGGCCAGTATGACATTTAACCAGATATTATCTCTCAGGTAGATGGAGTGATTAATGACTTCTCTTTTCTAGCCAGTGCATGAGCAGTTATGAAAGATCTCTTGCTAAACAGCTTCAGTATTGCTTCATCGTCTCCTCACAAATTCATGTTAAGCAAAGCTGAAGTCTGGATCGTTGATATTCACGTGACAGCAACCGCAGTAATGAGAGGGTGATAGATAGAGTCGGGCGCTGGAGATGGTCAACCGTCCTGTCAAAGTACAGCTGGAGGGCTCTCAGCATGGATCACGTGAGCAAACTCTGCGGCTTCTTCCATTAGCGTAATCCTCCCCAGCGCTTCGGCCTGCTGAACAGCCCCTCCACACTGACTCTACTGCCCTGCAAACTAACACGAGTGGAGTCTGTTCTGTGTTCAGAGATCTGAGGAGCACCGGGAGAGATCGTGTTTGATGCAGTGAACTTTGAGACGTTTAATTACTGATTTCTTCCCTGTACTTTAACAGTTAAACATTTAATCAAAAAAAAGTGTGTATGTGAGTATTTGTGTACAGGAGAGTGTGACAAAATTACCATGAGAATTTAGTTAAATCTGACAAAACCCCTAATTGCTGACAATGATTTGACCAAATAAATAAAAAGAATAAATAATAATAGTAAAAATATATATAATAAAATAAAATACTAATAATAAAATACTAATTTTTAGAAATCTTTTATATGTTAAATATATTTTTTAATTAAAAAATTTAAACCGTTTTCATTTTTTATATTTTAAAATATCCAATTAATTTAAATTAATGTGTTGATTTAATATGACAGAATCAGGACAGATTTGTTCTATTGCAGCTTTACATTTTAAAAACTATCAAATGTATTTGAAAAGAAAGAAAGATTATATACGCTAATTTTTTCATTAAATTACATATTTTTAAAATATTTTTTGGAAATTGTTTTTATTTTTTTAATATGCTATTAATTATCCAATAATGTATTGATTTAATATTAAAGAAAGATTCAGAACAGATTTGTTCTTTTTCAGCTTCAAATTAAAAAATAATATTTAGAATGGAATTTTTTTTACAGATTATTTATTTATTTAAAATATCGAGTAAATAAATTTTTTTTTGTTAATTAACATTATGACCTTATTTTTTATTTATCAATCATCAATTGACAGCCCTAATAAAAAAATAATAGAAGTCTTGGTTAAACACCTTAACATGCACAATGGATAATAATTTTGATAAACTTTTGTTTGTGTGTGTATTTGACTTTTTTGACTTTTACATTTGGGGACAACTTAAATTATTCTGGCAAAACTTTTTTTTTAAGACATCCTCAAAGGTAAAAATGATGAAGTAATACATTTTAAAAATTAAGGTATAAAAAGGCAAATTTTTAGCAGGTTTTATTTTAGCAGGTCAGGGTTAGTTGTAGTAATTGTATGAAAATTGTGGCTTTATATATAAACGGTACAGTTTGTCCTCATTTACATAACTAGATCAGTGCATGTGTGTGAGTAGTGAGTGTGCGTCCATGCATGCAGTAACTTGCTGGTGTTTGTGAAGCGTTACGCTGCAGTTGTGTTTGCAGGTCCTATATGTGCCTGATCTGGACTACGTGTCCAGTGTGGGCAGCTCTCCCTCCTTCAGTCCCAGCAGCCCGCTCTCTCCCACCTCCTCAGAAGCTGACCTGGAGAAAGTGAGCAGGGTATGTGACATTTCACACTTCACACCGCACAGCCTCATCATTTAACCTGTGCTCTGGAGGGACTCTCACACAATCATACAGCATGCCATAAGTTCACACTGAAGGATCTCTGGGTATTTTCCATAAGCCTATGTGTCTTATGCTTTCTGGTTCACAGGAATCATGTGAAAGAGAATTAATGGTGAACAGTGAAATCATGAGCCGACAGCTTGAGATGCTGCTGTTCATTGTTAGTCAGGAAACTTTGTGCATTGTTTTCCATCAGCTGATAGGAAGAATGCCAGTGTTGCAGAATAGCTCTCCGTTATGTTGTTGAGGTATCCGTGTGTTTGTCTGTCAGGATGAATAGGAAAATTAACTTAAGGTCAACACGTTTCGCTTTAAAGCTTAAGTGTGTAAGATTTTGTTAAAATACCCATAAGTATCCCAGTTTAATCTGCAGAGACAACTACAAGTAAGTGTTCAGGAAAACTATGTTTGCAATTCAGTTTGGTAAATACATGGCAAATTACACAATTCGCTTGAAATACTGCAAATATATCACTGTTGATCTAATAGTTACAAAAGAAGGACAGATGGGTACATAAAATATTTATACAACACAAATGGATGTACCTCTGTAAATTTGCTTTTGAACATGAGATCACCTGGCTCAAACATGATATTTACACATCCTCTGTAATCAAATACCTGCCATGAGCTGTGTTGACTTGCCCTCATTCTTAGAAGCACTTCATCTAAATCCCTAAGAAATAAGCCATTTCTGGTGAGGTGAATAGGACTGGGCGATAGAGAATTTATAAAATGTAATCAATATTTAACAATTTGCTCTAAAATGTCTTAAAGGGTATTTTCCCCCTCCAGTCAAAGCAACCATCAATTAAAATGATTTAAAAAATATTCAAAATGTTTAATGCAAGACAGCTAAAAAACAATAAAAATCTTGACTCAAAACAAAATGTTAATTAACAGAGATATGCATATTTACAATGATATGATTATGATGTAAAAATTACATTATTTTATATATTATATGCATATATTTTTATAAAGCAATTACACACACACACATATAATGCATATATAATTAAATAAATATTTTAAAAGTATAATGACACTCATTAGAAGAATATAAATATATATGTACTTATATTGATAAATATATGTTTATTATTAATTAAATATAGTTAATTTATTATATTTTACATGTAAAATATATCTATTTAAAAATTTAAATATAAATAAAAAATGTATAATGACTCACTCTTGTCCTTAGTTTAATGTCTAATGACAATAAGAGAACTTAATGGTCAAACTGCAACATTACAATTGACCTATCAGTAAGCCCCTCCCCTCGAACGCAGATGAGCCAATAGCAGTTGAGTATCAGTTGCACGGGGACCGGAACTCTGACATCTTTAGGTTTCAGCGTCATAGAGAAACATTGGAAGATCCAAAGCTTTCATCGGTTTGATGGCAAAACGACGTGCCTGGAGTACTTGTAACACTGATTCCATGTATCCTGAGAGGATGGGCAATGGAATTTATTTTACTCCATATCCTAAACACAAATAAGTCCCTAAGCATTCAACCCCAATCCCAATGAAGATGAAAACGTTCATTTTCTGGTTGTCATACTCTCATTAAGTTACTATTTTCATCTGCTCAAGCAGAACGTTAATGTCATGTTGTGCTGCAAGCTATCTCTGGCTAAAACTAGCTATTGTTAAAGTTAGCGAGTCCATATAACGTACCAACCTAAATATATAACTGTTCTCACATCATGAACAGTGTAGGTCAAAAACATATAAACGAAGATCTACATTTCAGTGTCTCTCCATATTAAACTGGTTAAATCTAAATTAATTTAATCGTACCCTGCGGTACATGAATATTGTTGATCCTGGATGCTGTCATCTGCGATCGTGACGACCGTAACATGAGGTGTCTCCTGCTTGCATTGTGATCTGTAAACCCTCGCTTCCAAATTAATTTTGTTACCCACCATATTTATTTTAAAATCTTTAGGGATGCACGATATATCGGCCACCATATCGGTATCGGCCGATAAATGCACATTTTTTCTGTTATCGGTATTTGTTTGCATTATTTATGCATTATTTTATTTATTTGTAAGACTTTTTTATGACTAAATTTGGTAATGGGAGAGTAAAATTATTTTTAAAACGTACACCGTTCAAACTAGGCTGCTTATGTTGAAGTGTTCGGGATGTGGTGTTTAATGATGAGACCTTTTTTGTAATCAGGCTCTCAAAAAGTATATAAAAATTTGGATATAGATTTATCGGCCAACATATCGGTTATCGGCTTTCAAAAATAAAGAATTATCGGTTATTGGTATCGGCCAAAATGTTCATATCGGTGCATCCCTAAAAATCTTTTATATATCCCTCCATAGCATATTTAAGTCCCACTTGAATGGTGGTCCGTGTTTCCAAAATGTTCAAAAGCATCTTGGGACAAGGTTTTCACTCTGACAGCTGTCATTGTGAGACAGTGAGCAACTCTGTTTGTTTGTCCGAGTTAGCAACAGTAACTAAGGGGGACGGGGCTTACCGATAGGTCAATTGCTTATTTTATATTGTTAGAAAAAAAATATGGAATATTCTTTTACTGCCCAGCCGTAGTGGTATAGTATCTCTTCTCTTTCCTGTGGAGTAACTGTGCTCATGTTACATGCTGTCAGTAGGTTTGCTGTTGAATTTCTGTTTTGTAGTAAAAGGCTTTACCTTCAACATCTTATAAAGAAGAGGCCGCTGTACCTCACTGCCTCTTGGTCTCCATAGTGACTGCTGCGACGGTACCGTTTGCAAACCTGCCCACTTGTGCACTGAGCCTTAGACGCTCCTTTCCCTTTGGTTTCTTTCACACATATACAGAGTTCTGGCATGAAACTCTAGATGGCGCAGTCCGATAGGTCTAACTCAATCTGATCTAATGACATCATTATCACATGGCACAGCTGATTGGTTCTCTCCTGTATCGGTAGCCAATGAGCTCGCTGCTCAACATTCAAATATATGACTACTGTAGTGCTTGCCGTAGCAGTTGCAGCTTGCTTCAGAAACCCTCTACCTTCCCCAGCTCCACCTGTATAGATCTGCTACGAGGTGATTCATGTATGCTATATGAGGGTCATTTCATGTATGCTATTTTGCAGCAGCAATATTTCTTATATGCTCACAGCAGCATGTTGTGGATGTATTGGCAGTAGCAAGTCTTGGTACATGGGCCCAATCCCAATTCTATGTTATACCCCTTCACCTACCCCTACCCCTACGCCTACCCCTTCCCCTTGTCCCTTGAAACAGAGTGTCAAGGGGTAGGGGTGAAAATATTCCCCTAAGAATTGGGACACCACTACTATACCGTCACACATCATCATACTTCGTCTAGCTCCTACAATGAACACACCTATACTGTTGTGCTGGTGTGCATTAGAGCCTTTAATTACCGTTCTTTATTAATGCGCTGCTTACTGACACACACACACACACACACACACACACACACACACACAGATCGCGCAGCTCACACATCCAGGAGCAAAGAAACTTGTCAACGCTGCCCCACGACTTTTAATAATAACAGTTTAAATACTCGCTACAATATATTTTCCAGCAACAAGAGGATATAATCGCTGTTTTTAAAGTAAACTCACTCACTGTAAAGAGAGACGCACAAACACGCATACGCGCAACTTGTCTTGAATTGGCAGTATCTGAGAAAAAAGTTTAGCGATTTCTAATTGTATGTCTATGGTGGTTATCGCCCAGATCAGATATGAAAATATGTTATGGTACTATCGTGCAGTCTGTAATGACATGACGTTAGTAAACTTTAGCGATTTTTTTGCAACCATTTCTTAATATGACCGTAAATATGAACACACAGTTGAATGTAAAATAAAACAAATTATGACTTTTCATTCAAATCTTTATTAATGCCAATAATACTTACATTTATGTCTTTTTTTGTTCGCTCGGGCAGCCATGTTGCCGCTGTAGCTGGTTTATGCTGAGATCATTCATACCCCTTCGTTTGAACTGTGGTCCCGAAAAATCTTCATTTGAAGGGCTATCTGGCCTTTCTCCTTACCCCTACCCCTCCAACCAAAAGAGAATTGAGACACCCCTACCCCTTCACGTGAACGCGCGAAATGGAGGGGTAAGGGAAAGGGGAAGGGCTAGAGGGATAGAAATAGGATTGCCGCAGCAGCAACAGCAGTGTAGCAGATTTATTCCGATATATTTATTTAAGACCAAATACATTAACATTGTCATGTACATTACCATGCCAATCCCTCCGAGAGTTGTCATGACAGAAATCTATTTAGACCGTTGATCTGGGAAAAGGAAGCTGTGATCTGTTTAGCAGTCTGAGACAGGTGCTTTACTGGGATGTAAAATAATACAGTATGCAAAACATAATACAGTGCATCCAATAAAATGTATATTCATTTTGAGATGTAATTATATTACAAATAGAGTTACTTTAAGTGAGCATAAGATGATGGCAAAAACCATTTTAACGTAAAAATAGTACAGATACATTTTGTACAATTAAATATAGAATAATGACATATATATCAAAACTAAAAAAAAAATAATAGTAATTTTTTTTTTATCACTAATATCATAGCTACTTAGGGTGCTTTCACACTTGGTTCAATTGCTTGGTCCGAACCTGAGTTCGATTGCTCCCCCCTCCCCCTGCCCCTGCTGGACTGTTTTCACATTATATTATTTGTGTCTGAACCGCGGTTCGTTTGCGTCAAGCCAGCAGCTGTTTACCCCGTTGCTTAGTAACGATGGTGCAGGAGAAGACTGCAAAATGCGTAGCATTGCTCTCTTCAATTTTATATTTATGCTTTTGAACCATTGGTTTTATTTCCAAAGCTTCAGTACATAACGGCAGTTACGTCTGCCTTACGAATGTACTGCAGATGCTCTAAAGAACTCTGAAGGCGAACAGAAATT